GGGAGAGGGGGGGGGGAACGGGGACGGGGACAGTTCGCTGGGGGGGGACCACCGAAGGGAGGAGGGAGCAGTTACAGTGTACTTAAGCCAGGGAGCATGATGAAGTTGGTCGGTCGGAACGAGAACTGAAAGTAGCTTCTAGGTAAGCGTTCCCATTGTGGTTCCGTATCCAACCACTGCTTCCACCGCAGCTGGTTGAGTTGATTTAGTTCGCAAAGACTCTCTGCGTTGTCCACCCAGACAGTCCGAAAGTTATCAGAAAGCTCGCTCCTTTTGGTTAAGTCTGGTTCTTTCTAGAGCATTATTGTGAGTTCCTGCCAGCACGCTTGTGTGTTTACGGTGATTGTCTCAAGTATTGAGGCCCGAGCTTCCATATATCCATATGTGTGTTGTTTGTGCTCGTATGCACATCTCATCCGCCAGGCAGCCATTAACATCGGCAGTCGCGTTACTTCCAGCAAGTTAAGGCTGAAGGGTGTCCACGTTGCCACTTGTGGGGGCTTTTCCCCCAGCAAGATGGTCTTAAGGTCCCACGGCAGGTGGCTGCCCGTGAGATAGTGCCACGCTGCATCCCACCATTGCCAAAGTTGGGCCGCCATAGTGCAGTCCAGCAAGCAGTGTTCAAGCGTGGCTCTTTTCCTGGGGAAAGCCCCTCTGCAGTAGGTGCAGAGCGGGGACAGCACGCCCCGTTCTTCCAAGTTTGTTCCCGACACAATCCAGTTCGGGGTGGGTAGACACTTGTGGATGATCTGCCACTGCAGCGCTTGCAGATTAGTGGGTCGAATAGTCGAGTAGGTGGGCCACCTTAGCATGCTAAGGTGTTCCATGTCAAGTGGCGAGTCTCTATCCCACCCCTGCTTGATCGGTTCGGTTATGTATGCCGGTTTCCTTGCTGTTCTGTAGCCAGCCTTTACTTTGTACTGCCAGACCTGCAGTTTTCAGGAGCCCCCCAAGTCCCATTCCCATTCCTGCGGGTCAAATGGCAGCTGGGAAAGGGGAGTCACCGGATCATACACGAAGGATCCCGCGTTGCTGTCACTGATTCCACATATTCGTACTAGCCCATCAGCGGGAGCCTGCCGGTCAAGGTTGTCATGGCGGTCTAGTTTTGACCACCTTTCCCCAGGGAGGCGTGGTCTATACGCCTGAAGCATTGCCTGGTGCAAGTTAACCTCCTCCACATTGTACACCACCATCGGGATCGGCCAGTCATCCGGTCGGACCACCCAATCCCCTTGCTTTATTGTCGGGCATCTCTTAAGTTCTAGGACCCATGCCAAGGGGACAGCCTCTTGGATCTCTCTCAGGCCTTCTGTTAGGTTTCTGACACGGCTCATCTGTTGGCGAAGGTCCTGGTCTGAGAGTCACGTGCCAGCGTGGACATTCCACAGATCAGCCACTGTGTACATCCCTTTCCTTACCCAGGGGAGCCATCTCGAGCCGGCTTTCAGCGAGCTGCTAAGCTATGCTGAAGATCTGTAAGCCCCTTGAGCTATCCAGCACCCCGTCCACGTTCCCCCCCCATCTCCCACCTCTATATCCACTTCCCGCCCCTCTCCCGCCCACCCCTGATCCTCTCATTCTCATTCAAAGCCGGCCAAGCAGGGCCTTCCCCACTGGAGAATGCAGCTGAAGGGAACACCTCCTGGTGACAAGACGATGAGGTCATCGCCCACAGCCCATCACTGATGCCAGCCTACGCGGAGCTTTGGAAGGCGCCCTACAACGACTAGCAGACCTCAAGAATATTAGTTGGTTTCCCGCAGCTGGGAGGCAGGGACAGGGTTACACAATCAAATTCTACTTCAAAGACGACGACACAATGTTCATCCACTGGTAGGGGGCTCTGGGAGGGTGGGAAGTAGGGGACAAGGGCTTTGGGAGGGAAGGAACTTAGTGGGGAAGAGACTGCCTAGCACTGCTGAAAGGGTTTTGGATCTTAGGGAAAGGTGGGAGGGTTTTGGGTCTTAGGGAAAGGTGGAATAGAGGGGGACTAAGGTTGGCACCCAATAAAGCATTGTAACGACCACACTGCTAGCATTCTACATACACAGCTGCTGAAGATCTGTAAGCCCCTTGAGCTATCCAGCAATTCTAAACGATTTTGCAGAGAACACAGAAATATCAGAATAGTCCAGAGTTGGAGTCACTCCGGGTAGACTGTGAGGACCCCGGCCTCGATCTTCTTATTGGTAATATCAGTCTTGGGCACTGGGCCCGTTTAAAAAAAAAAAGAAAAAAAAGAAAAAAAAAGGTGGTCTGGTTGATGACAGAGGTGGGGGAGTGGATGGTTGCCGTCAACCCACTGAGGACGGAATCTGGAGGACGCTAAAAAATGACTAAACACCCAGTTGATGATAGAGGTAAGGGGAGCGGATGGTGGCCATGAGCCTGCCGAGGATAAAAACTGGAGATGCTCTAGGTAAGAACAACCTCCAATCGGAAAAGGTTCAAGAACATAGAATTGGAGGGATCTGATGATGATAAAGCTAGGGGACTTGTTGTAGAATGTCTACCCCTAGCGCTCAAAGTACCTGTACGCCGGGGCTCGTCCGACTATGCTTCAATCAGGGGTGGGGAGGGAGGTGAGGACCTGCTTATCCCTGATGCCTATAACCACTGTCCAGTCAGGCCACTTGAAAAGGGTGATGATCCTGGGTGGTAAAAACAGTAAGGTAGGACGTTGGGAGTAGGGATGCGCCGGGGACAGTAATGATGAGTGAGGGTGGGAGGGAGTCTCATAGGGGACCTGTATAGAAAATCATCTGGATGATCAAATGGCCAACTGCTGAAGGGAGTGTCATATGCCTGGTGGATAGCCTCTACAACAACATGGACTGAAAAAAAAAAACCGAAAAAAGGAACACCGAAACAACGCCAATATCGCCCACTGCTGCCACAGCTAAAGAGAAAGGGAGAGCCACGGTGGAAGTAGCCTAACCACTTCCCACTATCTGCCTCCGCCGAAGGTCAATGCTCTCCATCAACCCCGGCCCCAGAATAGCGCAACCCTCAGCTACTGCCCTTACCCCCACAGGCGCGACACTTCCCTCCCACATGCTGCCCATGCAGGGGAGGGGTCCCTCCCATACCGGCAACCAAAGCACAATCACAGAATAAAGCAGCTTCACTGTACTGCCACTGAAATCACCTCCTTCCCCCAAGAGGAAAAAGGACATCCCCCCGTCCTTAAACCGCCCCCGCTGAGATTAGCCTCCTTCTCCCCATCGGCCCCAGTTCAGGACAAGCCCCCTAAACGATCACCCCCACACCCTCAAAGGCATATACAGCTCCCACCAAAAGTATGCCCCTGCGGCACAGCAGTTCCCCCATTCCTTCCATCCCATCCTCACCAAGTGAGACAGCCCACACCACTCCCCGCTGAAAACAGCGCCCTTTGACTCTATCTGCCCACGCCAGGGCTGATTTACACCCCAAGAAACAGCCCCGGCCTCAGAATAGAGCAACCCTCGTATCTGCCCCTACCCTCTCAAAGATGTGCTAATCACACTTTTATTCACGGAGTAACCGTCGTAGAGGTTAGACTACGCTATGAGTGGCTTCGTACTTTGGTCGTGAACCCTAACGATGGCTTCTACTTCGAGTGTACGCACCTGCTTCAACTGTGGAGATCTCCTGGTGTTTATCTTCTTTCTTTCTTTCCCTTCTTCTTCTCTCTTCTCTTCTCTGTGGACTCTCGATTGCAATTTGGTGTGGACTTTCGATGGTTGTTGCTGATGCTTGCGGTGGCACGAGTCATTCATGTTGGATGTGCCAATCACACTTTTGTTCACAAAGTAACCGTCGTAGAGGTTAGACTACGCTACGAGTGACTTCATACTTTGGTCGTGACAGGCTGGGTCACAGGGTTGTGCCACCTTGCCTTGGCTCCGCCCAGTGTCACTGTGGCCTCAGCCCACCGTTAGCCACTAGGAGTACCCCCCCAAAGCAGCCCCCCAGACCTCTCTACCAGGCCTCACGCCCCCAACAAGCTGGGTTACAGGGTTGCGCCACCTTGTCCCGGCTCCGGCCAGCGTCGTTGCGGCATCAGCCAATCGTGAGCCACTGGCTTTGACTTCCTCAGCTAGATTGCAGATGACCTCTGGATATCCCCCTTTTGACCATATGCCACCTAAAATACGCAGAGCAGGGAAGAAAAAGTTATCAATCCCAGAGGGATAAGACTTTGGGTCATTTTCGGCATTAAAGTTTTGACGTTGTTCTAGGATTAGAAGGCCAGATTTGCTGATATAGCATAGACCTCTAAAGTTTTTCACATACTAATCGACATCATCATTAGCATCATTATCATTAGTATCATTATCTCACTTTTTTTTTCTGGTGTTCTGTAATTCGTGGCGGCACTTGGCTTTCTTCCTCATTCGGGATATATGATTTAAGAGATGGTCGAATCTGGGCTGATATCTATGTAGTTGCTTTGTTCTTTTCCCCTGGTATGCCAATGCTAGAACGACGCTGGCCGGAGCTGGGGCGTTGCCCTGTAACCTGCAAATGACAGGAGTGTGAGGCCTTGTAGAGAGATCTGGGGATTAGTCGAGGAAGGAAGACAATCCGGTGGTGAACTGGAGGGTGCCACCAGGACAGTCTATGGGTCCAGGTTTAGTCTAGGTGGCAAGAACAGGATAACTATGGTTGATGTCGGCTAGGATGACATTGGCTTTGAGATTAATGTCCTGGCTCAGGGAGGGCTAGGGGTTGTTCTAGGATTAGAAGGCCAAATTTGCTGACATAGCATAGACTTCTAAAATTCTTCACATACTAATCGTCATCATCATCAGTATCATTATCCCACATTTCTCATTCAATTAGTAGAACTTCATCATCATCATCATCATCATCATCATCATCATCAGCATAATCATAATCATAGGAGGGACGCTGAGCCTGGTTCTCAGCTTGTTTGGTTCGGTTTCTCCGGGTAGACTGTGAGGACCCCGGCCTCAATCTTCTTATTCAATTTGGTAATGTTAGCCTTGGGCACTGGGCCTGTTTTGTTATTAGAAAAAAAAAAGAAAAAAAAAAAAGGGATTTTAACATGGAAGGTTAGGTCGGGATCAAGGTCAGATGAAATGGTTCAACTACAATACGAAATATGAGATTCGAAGAGTGTGTGGCAAGCTTGCTATCGATCAGGTAGCATCTACAAAACGGGAGTTAGTAAATCTATCCACTAAAAACCAAGGATTCAACATGAGCAAGGGCCTTATGGTGGCAACGGTGTCTGCTTGCACTGGACAAGGTCCAAGTGGATGCAGCAGAGGTCATGGACCAAATAAAACAACAGGTCCAGATGGAACTAACACGAAAATAGCAAGTCTTGAAACCTCAACTGGATCTTTTCCACCAAGGAAAAGACATCAAGAAGGCAATCACTTCCTTCTGTCTGGACTGGCTAGGAGGAGAAAGGGGAGGATGGGTAGCAGAAATAAGATGGAGTGGGGACGGGGACATTTTAGATGACCACGATATAGAAACGAAGCGGGACTACAGATTGATGTTTAAACCACCAGTACCTGGCCCAGCTATCGAGTCCGAGCCTCGGCCGACCGGTATGCCGATCCGTGCTGAGGCTCGAACTACCGGGCGCAGCCATCCGAACGTGCAAAGCACACAACGAAAAAAAGGGGCAAAAAAAAAACAAAAAAAAACAAAGAAATAAGGAAAACGAATTATCGATTCGAAAAACGAAACGGGAATGCATCTTCCCGCTTTCGCGGCCGTTTCGTTCTCGAAGAGAGAGAGAGAGAGAGAGAGAGAGAGAGAGAGAGAGAGAGAGAGAGAGAGAGAGAGAGAGAGAGAGAGAGAGAGAGAGAGAGAGAG